ACACTTTGGAGAGGAGCAGGGAGGGAGCCCTGAGCCCTGGCAGGCCGTGGATCCCGTTGCTAGCCTCCCCCCGCCCCCAATTGATGCTAGCTTGCTGCTCTAGCTGTCTTTGGGTGGGAAGGTCAGGACCCCTGGGGAGGGGTGGAACTGGGGGGCACAGGGCCATGATGGGGAGGCTTTCCTAGGGTAAGATTACCAAGAGTGTGCAGGACCTGGGAGGGAATCTGGTCCCACCATGATGCTTCTGTTTTTGGTTTGGTTTGGGTCTGACTCGTGATTTCACTGATTTAGGAAACTCCCAGTGAGGACTCACCAAAGCTGGTCAGAGCCGGGGGGAGCCCCTTGCCTCGGGGAGCCCCTTGCCTGGGGCTCTGAGCTTTGGCCTGGTAAGACGAGGCAGCAAATGTGGGGGGGGGGACTAGGATCAAACCCCGGTCCCTTGGACCGTGCACTGCCCTAAGAGGCTGTATCGCTCACAGCACAATTAGTGGGAGTTTGTTTCCAGACACCACACCCGAGTCTGAGCGATTTTTGTCCCCAGATTGGCTGACTTGGGGACAAAATCGAAAGGCAGTTTTGGTGTGTGCTATCCCCCTCTTCAGTCCCTCCCAAAAGCTCTCTCTGAAGGCTCGGTCAGGCTTGGAGAGCTCAGAAACTGTCGTTTGCAATGTTCTCGACATGAACCCTGACAAGTCTCTGCTTGCATACCTTCAGAGATGGAGAACTCATTATCTTGTGAAGCAATCCGTTTTACACCATTCACTTCTTCAAATACCAAAAATGTCTCTTTAATTCAAAGGTTTAAATGCTTTAATTTTGTTGATCAAAGTATTTCCAAGGCAGACCTCACCCATTTAAACCCTGGCCTCCTCTCCCGGAGCCCTCTATGGCTGAGGGTCGGTACTTCAGACACCTTCTCGGGGGCCCCTCTGTGACTCCCTCAAATCCACCCAGTATTCCTGAGTTCAGCCTCAGGGCTAATCTGCCAGAGTGCTTGGATTCTCTGGAGTAAGGAAGGAGGCACAGGATGTCTTTGCACCCGCCTGTTTGCAGGGCCCCAGATGGTGCCGTTACATACTGGCTGCCCTCTGAAAGCCCTGCCAGTTCAACACCAGTTCGGGTCTCAGGGATGGGCCTGGCCTGGCCAGGTTTGGTCGTTGCCAGGCCATTGGCCTGCAGGCGAAGAGGCTTTGTGGCTGGAACAGCTGATGCAAACATCCTGCCCAAAAATGAAAAGCGCATGTGGTCATGATGTCCAGGTTGGGAGGTGGGGGCCCAGCCGGGCTCTGACCACACCATTAGTGCTGCGTCCGGCCTAGCTTAGTTCCAAGGCCACATTTTAGCTAGGACGTAGGCTGGTCCTGGAGAGTGTCCAGAGGAGGGCAGCCAGGGTGGGGAAGGGCCTGCTCTTAGAGCTCTGGAGCTCTGGTGAAAGGTTTTTGTGACTCAGGGGAGGCAGACGATGGAAAGAAACCCAAATGCCAAACCCACACCCCAAGGTACCGCCAAAGACCACGCCTCCTCCTGGCCTCTGGGTGGGGGTGTCGCACAGGTGGGCCCCTTCCAACTCTGAGGCTCAGTGATGCTTTGTTTGAGGGGCACAGCATCCAGCCTTCATCCAAAGGGCCAGTTCTGGGCAGACCTGGACCAGCAATCCCGGCTTCCTCATTCCCAGTCAGGGCTCTGGCCACCAATGCCCCTTTGCCTGGTATCCCTAGGTCTCGGCCTAAGCCACAGCTTGTGTTTAGTTTGAATGGAAGATCTCCCCCTCTTAGCTGGCAGCCAGCACCAACTGACGAAACAAAGGGATCATCCGGGTGTGTCTGAGAACTGGGTTTTCCATGCAAGATACTCATTTCCCACCTCCACACCTTTGTATTGGATGACCCTCAGGTTTGGAACTCAGTCTCTGAAGTTCTCTGCCCCCAAGAGTTCTGAGCTTCCCTCAAGGTTCAGCTGCCTCCTTTCCCATCTCCCTAATGGTTACTGCCTCACTCTTTCCCTGTCCACTCCACCCCACCCCACACAACTCAAATTACTTCTCATTTACTTTTTTTTTTTTTAACAAATTATATGAGTGGCTTCTTCTCTGTAGAACATAAATTGCTTGAGGGCAGAGATGGTTTCATTTCTTTGTATCGCTACACCTAGTGTAGTTACTTTCATACAGTAGGCACTTAATGAATGCTTATAGAATGAATGGATGGACGGATGAATGGATGGATGGATGGACAGAAAAGCCCCGTGGGGTTATTGTTCATAGGATACTAGTTCCAGAGCTGGAAGATGCTTGAGAAGGCCTGGAGTCCTGTCCCTTCATTTGACAAATGAGGACACTGAGGCCCAGGATAGTGAGATGGTGACAGGCCTGAGGTCACCCAGGCAGTAAATGACAGAACCAGGGTTCAATCTCAGATCTTAAGATTCCAAGTCCAAAGGTCTTTCCACTGGCCAAAGGCAGCAGAAGCCTTTCTCCTCCTCTCCCCACTTCTCCTCCTTCTGTGAGGGTCAGACCTGTTTGTAGTAGCTTTCAACCAGTTGTATTCTTTCTTCTACCAGAGGGAAAAGCATTGCCTGAAAAGCATGGAGGTGTTTCTTTGCCTCCTCCTCCCCCTCGTGCACCACACACTCACACATGCACACACACACACACACACACACACACACACACACAAATACACATTGATTCATTTTTCTGCTTTTCTGCTTGAAAAGCATCTCTACCATTTGTCTCCATCATAAGAGGGGTGTCTTTTCTAGCATTGCTACAGTGCATGAGCCCCCATCGGTGTTTCCCCACAATGATTATTCGTTGATTTTCATGTAGTAAGTTAGACATAATTTGTTTTTAGAGAGAAGTATTTACTTAGGTGGTATGATAAGGGTAGTTGGTAGAAAACATCCCCTCCCCCCCCAAATCTGTGACACATTTTCTCATAGGTACTGATAATCATTTAAGATCAATTAAGCCCCAATAAGGGCCAAAAACCTAAATCAATCTTTTCTTTCTGAATGAATTGAGAATGCCCCTTCCTGTGTCAAGAGCTAAAGCTGACCAAGAGCGTTCTTATGTTTATGACCACTAAGGCACCTTTAACCCAGACAGACACTACCTTGATGGTGGTAAAGGAAACACAGATATCCTGGATCTGACATTTGCCTATCTTATTTAAATTTCCTTTCTCATGCTCTGGTTAAACACATGGAGACCATAAAACTGAATAACACAGACATTCTGAGTCAGGGTTTAAATGTCCTGCTAAAATTGCTTGATTCAGTCAGAGTTAAACCTCTGCCTCCATATAACATGTTACATGCTGCTAACTTTAAGGGAATAAAACAATATGAATTTACCTATCACCTAGCTTGTTGTCTAACTAACTTTCAGGTCGACAATACATACAGACTCCAGGGGAAAGTGGGCTCAAACTCAAAAGCACATGTGGCAGAGGGATATGTAACTCTTGGTTGCTGGAAGTCCTCTTCTCCCTTTTGAGGGGGGTACAAGAAATTCCCATTAGGCTTGATGTAGCTTCTTTGCTGGGCTCCTTCTGGAGATGTGACCACATCTGATCTATCTTTGGTTCCCAATGCAGATGCTGCCATCAGCTGATCTGAGGATGCTGCTAGGATACTAGTAGGAATCTAGGAAGTCTAACATTCTTACAGAGTTTACCAAGTCCTCCTCTGGCTAGAACACAGCACTTGATCCAGGCTCTGGAGCGGCTCTAGCTCCTAACTAGTTTGATATCTTATAGTGGACCCCTAGAGAGAGACTGTGTCTTCTCAGCCAATCTGAACACACTTGATGTTCAGCGTGACCCCAGCTCCGAGGAGTGGTCACACTTAGTCTGAAGTCACTCAGTGTAGGCAGAGTAGACTGACTGGATTTCCTTAATCAATGCCCCACATTTAGACTTCTCTGTGTATACATTGTTTCCTCTGATAGAATGTCGGTTCCTTGAGAGCACAGGTTGTCCTTGTCTGCCCAGTGCCTAGCACTGTGCCAGAGACAGGGTAATCCTTAGCAAATGTTTGTTCGTGGATTGAGATGCAAAAGAGGCAGTGAAATGAGGCAAAATTCTTCCGGGTGACTCCAGAGCATTGCTAGTAATCAGTCAACATTTATTAAACACCTACTATGTGCCAGGCACTGTGCTAAGTGCAGGATCCGTTCCATAGGTGAAGAAAGGCAAAGGCTTGCGCAGGGCAACCAAAGATTGTTGTGTCTGGAGTGCCAGCTCTGCGTAAGTCTAGTCTGTAAGCACATTGGCTTGTTCAGCCTCTGACTGAACAGAAGGACAATTGGAGGGAGGGTGCTTAAGAGCCTGGCTCTGTGGGGAATGAAGCCCAGGCTGTCTGGCCCCTTTCCTCCTTCTGCCTTCTGGAGGGTAGCCAGGAAACCAGGGATGTTGCAGTCTCCGGTCTTCCTTTTCCCTTCTGGGGGAGGAGTCAGTGAAGCTGGCAAAGGACCAGTAAGGGCTTCAGGAGCCTATAGAACCAGACCAGGAATTCCTAGCTGACTGCTTAAGGGGTCCATAAATCATTCCCTGGCTGGGGTCAGCTGAGGTCCAGTGAGAGAGCATCTTTAGATGACCCTGGTGACCTGTCACTCAGTCCACAGCCCCACAGCCTGAGGTCTCGACCAACGTTTGATGTGGATCTGAGCCAGGAGGGGGAGGGCATGTGGTAGGACAGCCTTGACTCTTCTGAGCTGATCAAAAGGTACCTGAGGGTGGGGAGAACAAAGAACTGGGGATTCAGGAGGGACTGAGTGGAATCCCGCCTCAGGTGTGACTGCAAGTCAAGCCATCTCCGAGCTTCAGTTTCCCCATTTGTAAAATGGGGATAATGTTCCCTGGAGTCCTCACACATGATCTGAATGCCAGCCAAGTCAGGGGTGGGGTGGGGTGAGGTGGGGACAATCACTGCAAGACTGGACATAGAAACCGAGTTTCCTCTTGGTTTTCCTGCAGCCTAATTTGTGACCCCTAGCAAAGATGAAGAAGTCAGGCCCAGAGGAGGCAGAAAATCCCAACGAGCCTGGCCCAGGCACCCCCGACAACAGACTGGGCTCGAAGCCCCCGCAGCCCAAGAGCCGGAGTCGCCTCCCCGGCAGGTGCGATTCTGAGGAGTCTTCCACGATGGACTCCTCCTATCAGGAAGGAGAGCTGGCTCCATGCCCCATCATTAAGTTCAGCCCCATGGTGGAAAGGCCACGGGGTAACGATCAGTCTGACGCGTAAGTTTCCATTGCAGCCCCAGGGGCCCCGAAGAGTAGCCTGGGGTCTCCACAGCTCCTCAGGGCTCAGTGTCTGTCCTTCCAATGGAGCCCCAGATGCTGGCCACACGGTGTGCAGCTAACCTTGACCTCAGGGCCTGCGGGCTGGCCGTCTCACACAGGCTTGGAGTACATTCTGCAGCACACACGCGCATGCGAGCGTGCACATGCACACACACACACACACACACACCTACCTGAGCTAAGATGCAGCAGGTGCAGAAGGCCAGATACAACTTCAGGAGGTCGTCAGGTCCAGTCACCTGCTTCCAGGCAGGCTTCCATCCCCAAATGCACAGGGCAGGGGATTCCCAGTGTGGAGGAGAGCGGAAAGCGTGCATTCTGAGCTCATTTGCTTCTTTTAATTTAAATTGGACTTAACAAAATAATTAATATGTTTTGGGTTTTTTTCTGCTCTGAAGGGTGAGGGCTTAGCATGGGGTTGGTTGGGTTGACTTCAGGACTAGCTGAGCCAGCCACTAAGCAGGAGCGTTGGACATGCTGACCTGGGATGGGGGTGGGGGGATGGGACACGAAGAGGAGGAGGAGGCTGGCACCTCCCACTCCATTCGACTCCCTCATTCTCTCTGCCTCCTGTCTCCACTGGGTGCTCACAGGCAGCTGTCTCAGGATTCCATTCCTACCAACTCAGAAAAACCCCTCAAGCTCTACGACCGCAGGAAGATCTTTGAGGCTGTGGCCCAGGGCAGCTGTGAGGAGCTCAGCGACCTGCTGGTCTACCTCCAGAGGAGCCAGAGGAAACTCACAGACAGTGAGTTCAAAGGTAGCACTCCCCATCGCCACCCCAGGCAGGGAAGGGTCCCCAGGGCCTGTGCCACTGACCTTATCTTGTGTCCTAGACCCAGAAACAGGGAAGACCTGCCTGCTCAAGGCCATGCTAAACCTACAGGAGGGCAAGAATGAGACCATCCCCCTCCTTCTGGAGGTCGCCAGGCAGACGGGCAGCCTGGAGGAGTTTGTGAATGCCAGCTACGTAGACAGCTACTATAAGGGTAAGAGGCAGGAGGAGAGGGCCCCGAGGCTCCGGCCTCAATCAGACCAGCACTCAGTAAGGGCCTCCAGCATGCCGGGCATCATGCCAGGAAACTCCCCGAGAGGGGAGCCTGGCTCTAGGGCTCAGCACAGTGGAGACGCTGACTCAGGGTGCTGAGTTCTGAGTCGCTGACATGATCCTTGTGGCCCTCGACCCAGGCCAGACGGCTCTCCACATTGCTATCGAGAGACGGAACATGGCCCTGGTGACCCTCCTGGTGGAAAATGGTGCCGACGTCCATGCTGCAGCCCACGGAGACTTCTTTAAGAAAACCAAAGGAAGACCTGGCTTTTATTTTGGTAGGCAGAAGATGTGATGGGCACTGATTCCTTTTATCAATTTCTGTTGACATCTTTTGTTTTCACATTGGGTCTACTTCCCCTGCATGCCGCCTCCTTTCTGCTCCTGGAAGAGGCTCTATTATAACAAAGATGTCACGACCTGCCATGTTCTCCACACGCGGGCCCGTCCCTTGCAAATATCTGGCTGAAGGTTCTTCTCTGGTCACTTCTGTCTGGATTCTTCTGTGGCTTTGGTCAGCCTCATTCAGCACATTGCTTCCTTGCCTCTGCTCACATTCCTTTACGTCAGTTCATACTTCTCAGCGTACCCCTGATTGTCATTTCCTACAGCTCCATAATAGCCCATGACATTCACACACCACAACCTATCTGGCCACTCCCTAGTCAATGGGGACCCCCTTGGATTCCACTTCTTCGCTACCATCCAAAGGGGCAGATCATTCTTGGACCAATTAGCAGTAAGGAGGCATTGGGTTGGAATATGTGTGGCATGTTCAGCTACTCAGCACCCAGAGAAAGCTGGTGGCCTGCTTGTTCCTCGAGGGGTGACCTGGATCTTTCCCTGTCATCATGCCCTCTTGCACTCATTCTTCAGGGGTCTCACCCCCTTTGCCAGAGCATGGGACAGCCCCACATAAGGGTTCCTTGCCCTTTAGGGACACTTGGTTCTCTGATGCTGGGCCACTGAGGAGGAGCAAAGTCACTGAGAATCACGCAGCCCTCCCCTTGAGTTTTTGGATGCATCTTGGGATCTCCAAGTCTTCCTAACTGTGTTTATCTCTGATTGGTGTTGGTCAGCCCGATCAGTACTTGAAGGCAGAGGGGGCAGGCCACTGGGAATTCCTGACTTCCCGGGGCTCTGCCTTCATTCTTCATCCCTGCTGTCCCTTTGAAGGTGGTGGGGCACAGGTATCCTCCATGGCCTCCCTATTACTCTTCACTGCCATCGCTACTACCTGAGGCTCCTGCCAAAAAGCTGTATTCTCACTGAAAGCCAATTATGGGTAAGGCTGAGGGCAGGACAGGGACAGCACAGGCAGCCAAGCTTGACCCAATTCTTCTCCAGACTCTGAGGACTAGTATGGACCTTCCACTTCCTGTCCTCCCCTTCAGCTGTTTGGTTTCTATGCCCACCAGTTGACTAAAGCTACTTTGGACTAAGGCTTCCAACAGGCTCCAGTCACTCAGTCAACTGGCTTAAGCCCTGGTGAAACAGAGAAAGGTAAAAGACAGTACTTACCATCAAGGAGCTCCAAGCTTAATGGGAGACAATGTGTAAACAATTCTGTACAAACGAGGTGCAGGCAAGGTGAAGTGGAGGTGATCTCAGGGAAGGCTGTAGAATTAAGTGGGACCAGGAAAGGCTTCCTGCAGAGTATGGGATATGAGCCGGGATGGGAAAGGAAGGAAGGGAAGCACGGAAATGCAGGTGAGGAGAGAGAGCTCTCCAGGTACAGCTCAGGTTGTCCAGTGAAAACACAAGGTGGGAGGTGGAAGGATCCTTGGTTCGGCTTTCAGGGTGTTTCATAACCTTTCAGGTCTTCTTCTACCCACCTTACTCCTTCCAGTGGCTCTAGCTTCCTTGCTCCTCACATATCTCAACTTGGTGAGCCAGGAGGGCAAGATGCTGAGACCTGGGCTGAATTTCAGGAAGCCAGATTCAGGGGTCACTTCACAGCCCTCATCCTCCCTGACCCCTGCAGCATCTGCTCCTGCTGAGCACTTCCCATCCTGGTACCACCGCCTGTGCTCTCCCGGTTCCCATTCTGCTTTCTAGCTGCTCTTTGGCATCTTCTCATCCCCCTTCTGCCCCATAAATGTGGGCACCTTCCTGAAGTTCAGCTTTTGGCTTGCTTCTCTCTATATACAGCTTCTCATCTCCCCCTAGAACCTGCCTCTCCTCTTATCTTCTGTCTTACCAGTAGATTGACAGCACCCCATCCCTCCAGTCCCCTGGGTTTGAATCTTGGGTCATCTCTAACTCTTCTTCCCCCATTCAGCCGGTCACCGAGTCCTGCTGTTCCACCTTGGTCATCCCTGCTGCCCCCTGGCCCTAAGATGTGGTGCCTCCCCCAAGAACTATTTTCAACCAAGCCTAGAAAATGGCTTTCTGTCTCCAGTTTTCTCCTTGTCCAGTCTGCCTTTCACACCAGAGCCTATGCCCTCTTGCTAATGGACAGCTCTGAACATGTCCTTACACTGCTCAGTAGCCTTCATTAGCTCCCCATTGCCCACTGAAGAAGGGAACTTCTCTTTCTTCCCACCCACCATCTCCATATCATGCTGCCTCCCATGTGGTCATCAACCTCAGTCCCAGCCCACCACCAGCTAGATGGAGCAGTGCCCAGGGGTCAGGAAGACCTGAGTTCAAATATGGCTTCAGACATGCTAGCTGGGTGATCCTGAGCAAGTCACTTAACCTGTTTGCCTCAGTGACTTCATTTGTAAAGTGCAGATAATAGCACCTCCCTCTGAGGGCTGTTGTGAGGATACAGTGAGATAATCATTGTAAAGTTCTTAGCACAGTGCCTGGCACATAGTAGGCACTTAATAAATGTTTGTTCTTTCCCCTTCCCCTTGCCCTGGGGACCACCTTGGCTTTGATTGGTGACCATTTGCTTTATCTTGCTGGCCACAGGCTCCAAAACATGGCTGTCTTTGGTCTCCAGGCCCCCTTTACATGGTCTCTTATTCCATTAGAATATAAGCTCCTTTGGGACAATAACCATCTTTTTTGTGTATATTTTTCTTTTAAAAATATTGGCTGATTTTCACAAGCATTTATTATCTCTCCTTTCTACTACCACCCCCACCCCATGAAGAATAGAAAAAATGAGAAAGAAAACATAGCAAATGTACATAGTGCAGCAAAACAAATTCCCACATGGGCCATGTCCAGAAATATTTGTTTCATTCTTTATTTGAAGTCCATCATTTCTTATCAGTCTTCTGGACTAGTGGTTTATTATTTCATTCCATTTGTTTGTGCAAACACTTTCATTTTATAGGATCCAAATTGTCCATTTTGTCTCCTGTTATCCTCTCTGTCTTGCTAACATAGTCATGAACTTTTCCTGTTCCAAAGATCTGAAAGTTAATTTCTTCCTTGCTCTTTTAATTTGCTTATGATGTTACCTTTTACGTCTTAATCATGTATCCAGTTGAAGTTCATCTTGGTATATGGTGTTAGATGTTGGTCTGTACTTTGTTTCTGCCAGAATACTGTCACGTTTTCCTAGCAGCTTTTATCAAATGATGATTCTTTACAGTAGTAGTTGGTGTTTGGGATTTATTGAACACTAATCTACTGTGTTTCTTTTCTCCTACGTGTTATGCATCTAATCTGATCCCCTGATTGGCCTCGTTATTTTTTATACAGGAACAAATTGTTTTATTGACAGGGCAAGGACTGTCTGACTTATTTGTACTTGTATCCCTCATGCTCAGTACAACACCTGGAACATACTAAGTATTTAATAAATGTTCTACTTAGTTCCCTAGCTATCCATCCATTGATCTATCCATCCATCCATCATCTATCTATCTATCTATCTATCTATCTATCTATCATGTCTCTACATATCTGCCTATCATCTCCATCTTATTCAAGCATTCCAAGCCCTCCATGGTCTGACTTCAACCTCTTTCTTGTCTTATTTCACAGTTCTCACATTACGCATAGTAAGTTCCAGCTGCCTTGTCCTCCTGTCTGTCTTCTGTCCTGGTCTTACTTTCTCTGGTCCCGATGCCTTTACTCACACCCCATCTCCCCCCCCTTTCCCCCACAGCTGACCTCGGGTGTCCCCCCTCAAGGACATTCTTCTTGGTTCTTCTGGCTGTCCTGTTGTACTTGACTCATTCTGCCTTATATTGAGATCAATTTGTAAAGTGATTAGCACAGTGTCTGGTATATAGTAGGTACTTGATAAATACTTGTTCCCTACCCTCAGTGAACTTACAATCAAATGTGGGACATAGACACAAATAACAACAATGCCAGGGGGAAGGGTTCATCTCTATCTCCAGGGCCCAGCACCTTGCCCTGAGGGCCCTGGAGCCCTGGGGGGGGGGGTGCCTCAGTTCAGGTGGGCCCTCTTTCCTCAGGCACAGGCTTTCCCCACCTGTTTAGTAGACAGGTGGGTTAGCTGTGGCTACAAACACAAGTTCCCCCGGGGTTTGCCTTCTGCCCAGGAGCCCCTCAGCCTTTGTCAGTCTGACTTTCAGGTGAGAGGTGTGTGGTTAACCCAAAGCCTTCACCTCTGGAACCAGCAGGGGAGGTCCAGGGGCCTCCTGCACACCAGAGGGGCCGTTTTCGGTCTTAGAGCTGAGTCCCTGAGCCCCTGCATACATTGTCCTTCAAGGGAGTGCAGTGGGATGGAGGGAGGGCTCCCTCCTTCCCTGGCCCCATCTGGGGCTTCCTGTGTGCTCGGCCCCCAGGCGAGCTGCCTCTCTCTCTGGCGGCCTGCACCAACCAGCTGGGCATCGTGCAGTACCTGCTCCAGAATCCCCACCAGACCGCAGACATCGAGGCCAAGGACTCCGTGGGCAACACCGTCCTCCACGCCCTGGTGGAGGTGGCAGACAACACCGCGGAGAACACCAAGTTTGTGACAAGCATGTACAACGATCTCCTGATCCTCGGCACCAAGAGTCACCCCACCCTGAAGCTGGAGGAGATTACCAACAAGAAGGGGCTCACGCCTCTGGCGCTAGCTGCCAAGAGCGGGAAGATCGGGGTAGGTGGCACCTGCAGGGCTCCGCCGTCAGCGCATGGGTCCGCAGGGTGGATGAGCCCTGGTGGGCAGGAGGGGTGCACGAGGGGGCCCCTGCAGGGGCAGACAAAGGCCCGGCGACTGTCAGCTATTCCAGAACAGGCTCTGCCTTTTTGTGCAGGGAGCTGGGCTGCCACTGGGCCATAGAGCGCTCTCTCTCTGGCCTGGGCTTCTCTGTCTGCCCGGGGGCTCAGGGGCAACTGGGACTAGCCCCAGGCCTTAGTCTGTGGCCAGAGTTAGGAGGTCAGTCTGGCTGCCACTGAGGTCGGGCTCCTGTAAGACCGGGGTCCAGAACCATCGTGGCCTCAAGCCTCGCGGCTGGCCAGTGACAGCGCCTGGGGCTGACCTGCGGCTTCTTCGCGCTAGGTGCTGGCCTATATTCTCCGAAGAGAAATCCAAGAGCCCGAGTGCAGACACCTCTCCCGAAAGTTTACCGAGTGGGCCTATGGGCCGGTACATTCTTCTCTCTACGATCTGTCCTGCATAGACACGTGCGAGAAGAACTCTGTACTGGAGGTGATTGCCTACAGCAGCAGTGAGACCCCAGTGAGTGCAGGGCCTGGGGGAGGGGCATGGGGGGAGGGGCTGGAAGGGAGCTGGTAGAGTAGGGGGAGGGAGGGGGGAGGAAGGGCTGGAGAGCAGGGGGGAGGAGGGGGCTGGTCACGTGTCCAATCTGTGGCCAAGGCAGGTGATTTCACCTTTGTAACAACTGAACACGTCCTCTCCTCTCCTCTGACGCTGTGGTCATCCCGTGCTGGCCCTCCTCACCTCACACCTGAATCATTGCAGTAGCTGCTGGGGGCAGGGGGGAAGCTGCCTGCCTCAGTCTCCCCCCACTCCAGTCCATCCTCCATTCAGTCACCAAAGGTCTGACCATGTCAGCCCCTACTCTAGTGGCCCCCTGTCACCTCCAGGAGCAAACGGGAAACCCTTCCATACGTATTCAAAGCTCGTCATAAACTGCCTCTCCTCCCTTTCCAGGCTTCTCACACCTGACTCCCCCCACGTTTTCTCCCATCCAATGGTCCCCAGCCTCCTGGCTGGTCCTCCAACAAGTGGCTCTGGGCATTCTCTCTGCTTATCTCTCAGGCCTGGAAGGCTTTCCCACCTTCTCTTTGACTACTGACCTCTCCCTGGCCTCCTTTAAGTCCCAGTTAAAACCTCCCTCCTACAGGAAGCATTCCCCAGTCCCCCTTGATACTTGGGCAGGCCTCTATTGATTATCTCCCATTTATTCTGTCTTTTGCCTCTTTTCCAATCACTAACACTCAGCTCGGTGCCTGGCACACAGAAGGTGCTCAGTCAATGATTGCTGACTAAATAGATCACAGTGATATAGTACGCCAGGATTTGCTAAGTGCTTTACATTCATTTTCTCATTGGATCCTCACAGCAACCTTGGGAGGGAGGGGTTATGATTATCCTCATATTACATATGGGGAAACTGAGGCAGACAGGGTATGTGACTCGCCCAGGGTTGCACAGCTAATAGGGGATGCATGTACTCTCTGTTCTGGTTCCCCAGACACGATGGTCTGTCTTCTGCCTCTATGTCTAGGTGGTTCCCCATATTTGAAATTCCCTCCCTATTTACCACCACTTGGAAATGCTAGCCTTGTGCAAGCCACAGCTTCAGTGCCATGTCCTCCAGGAGGCCTGTCTCCCCTTCCTCACTTGGGAATGCTCACTCTATCTTGGCTCAGTTTTCTTTGGCTGAGGCTTTGTGTTTCCTTACCTGCGGACAAGCTAAGTGACTGAAGTAGAAGGGATGGTCGAGGGTGGCCTGGCTTTTGTCACTGTGTGCCCAGCATCTAGTAATGTGCTTGGCATCATATTGATATTGGACTAGGTCTAGACATAGACATGGAATAATAGGTACAGGCGTAGATAGATAGGGATTCAGGCTACAGGCACAGGTGTGGATATTGGTATAGAAATGGATATAGACACAGATACAGAAACAGATACAGATACAGATAGAGGCATAGGTATGGATACAGGCTACAGGCACAGGTGTGGATATTGGTATA